TCAGTTTCCCCGGTTGGAATCAAGGTGTTGGCAGGCCCAAGCTCCCTCCAGAGCCTCTGGGAGACAGCCTGTTCCTTGCTGTTTACAGCTCTGGTGGCAGCCAGCACTGGTGGCAGCCAGCACTGGTTGGCTCGTGACTGCATCAGTCCAGTCTCTGCATTTGCCTTCTTCCCGTCTGTCTCGAATTTTCCTGTGCCTCCTTCTTATAAGGACACATGTGATTACATTTAGGGGCAACCAGATAATCCAGCATAGTCTTCCTGTCTCAACTTCCTTAACTTGATTACATATATAAAGTCCTTTTTTGTCATCTAAGGTAATTTTGCAGGCACCAGGGATTAGGAAATGTTTTTCTTTTGAAGGAATGTTTTTCAGCCTACCACAATCTTGCTTGAAGCTTATTAATTCTATTGATTTTTTCAAAGAACCAGCTTTCTTTTTCATTGATTTTTCTCATCTGTCTTCCTCTTTTCTATTTCATCGATCTCCATTGTGATACTTTATTGTTATTTTTATCTTTTGCTTACTTTGGTTTTCATTTGTCTGTCTTTTTCTGGTTTCTTAAGATTGCAACTAAGGTTTTTGCTATAAATTTTCCTCTGTTCTATTTTATCGCCATTCCACAAATGTTTATATGCTGTGTTTTCATATTCTTTTGATTTCATAGTCTTTCTAAATTTTGTTTATTTCTTTGATCCGTAGAAACATGTTACTTAATTTTCAATTTGGGGGACATTTTCCCGTTATCTTTTAGTTATTGATTTCTATATTTTATTATGGTCAGACAACATTCTTTGTATGACTTGAATCTTTTTAATTTAATTGGGACTGATTTTAGAGCTCAGAATAGAATCTATCTTGGGTAAATATTCCAAGACATTAACCATACATTTGTTCTTTAAGAATGTGCATCTTGCTCTTATTTGGTTGAGTGTTGTTTAAATGTTAATTACCAGGTCAAGTTTGTTGATAGTATTGTTGAAGTCTTCCATATCCTTGCTGTTTTTCAACCTTCTTGTTCTATCAGTTATTGAGAAAGGGGTGATAAAATCTTAAGGTGTAATTGTGGGTTTTTCTAATTCCTCATGCAGTTGTGTCAGTTTTTGTTTCATACATTTTAAAACTCTTAATAGGTCCATAAACATTTACTATTGTTAGGCCCTCTTGATAAATTGATTCCTTTATCATTACAGATTATATTTCCCTACCTTTTTGCAGGTCTGGTAATTTTTTATTGTACACCAGACATTATAACTTTTATCTTATGGTGAGCTTTGTTCTGAGATGCTGTTCATTTATTTAGAAGCAGTTGGGTCTTGCTTTCAAGCTGTTTTAGATGATAGCCAGGCAGTGTTTAATCTAGGACGAAATTTACACCATTGCTAAAGTAAATCCCTTCTGAATACTCTTCCTTATGCTCCGGGTTCTTCACTTTGGTTGGTAGGAACGGGCGCTGTTCCCAGCCCTGTGTAAGATACTGGGATTGATTTCTCAAATCCTTTCCTGTGGTTCTTTCTGCTGCCTTGGGTAGTTCCTTCTCAAACATCTGCCAACGAGTACTCAACTGACTACTCAGTGAGAACTCTGAAGATCTCCAGGGTTCTCTTTCTATTTTAGTCTCAAGCTCCCCGGCATATCTTCTGAGCTGCATCTTTTCAACTTGAGGAGACCACCTCGAGTTTCATGCATTTTTGCATGGCTTTTTAGCTGTTTTATGTGGGAAGATAATGCTAGTAATTATTGCTCCATCTTAGCTGGAAGTGGAAGTCAAGAGCTGAGAAGTTCCTCCGAGTGTGATTAAAAATGCACTAGAACCCAGTCTGTATAAAATCCAAGCTCTTGACTACCATTTCCAGCTAAGATGGAATAATAATTATCAGCGTTACCTACCCACATGAAACGACTGAAAAGCCTTGCAAAAATCCTCGGGTAGCAGGGGTGAAAAAGACAGTCCCACAGGAATGGCTGCATTTGTGTGACTGATTTTTTCATCCCTGCTACCAGAGGCTCTGCCACACCTTGACAGCCTTGTGTAAGTTACTGAGCACTTAATAGTAGGAGGTGTTCAGAATGAAGGAAAAGCTGAACCCATTTTGGTTTCTTCAGTTTATTGACTTATTGTGTGCTATATTTTGGGTCCTTTATTTCTAATCTATGTTAGTTAGAGGTTTTAGTTTTTACTGTGTGGGAATTTTTGTATTTCAAAGGCACAAATGTTTAAAAGAAAATTAAGTGTGAAATATTTGTGTACACAAAATTTTTTAAATTACAAAAACAAAAGAAATGTAATAAGTAGAGTATGACATTTAAAATTTTCACTTATGGGGCCGGCCTGGTGGCGCACTGCTACAGTGCGCCATTTGGGAGCGCAGTGGCGCTCCCGCCAAGGGTTCGGATCCCACATACAGACCGGCCACTCACTGGCTGAGCGAGGTGCGGGCACAATGCCGAGGGTTGCGATCCCGTTGCCGGTCCCGGTCCGGTACGGGCGCGACACTGAGGGTTGCGATCCGTTGCCGGTCACGAAAAAAGACAAAAAGGAAAAAAAATAAAATAAAATAAAATTTTCACTTATGAACATTCAGCAAATTAATATACAGTCTTTGATTTTTTTTTCTTTTGCCTCATAGCTTCTGTGATATAAAGATTAATGGTGGTTTTCATTTGTTGAGTCAGTTTTACTGCCAAAAAAAGCTAGGTTTATGATTTTAATGAAAGGAAATTCTTTAATTTTGTTTATGCATAATCAGATGTGCAGCTGCTGCTGTGACCAAAATTTATCCATTAAAAAATATCCAGTCTAATAAAGGAGCTACCACTATTTATCTGTAACAGAAAATTCAGACCAAGGTAAAATACAAAATCCAAATTTTAAAAAAATACCTTAGGAAATAGGTATGTGATGTTTATGTGATAGTTTATCTCTTGATATTGAGGCAAGTCAAACTTTGATCCAAATTTGTCATAATTTTTTCTTGTATTTTTTCCTGCCATCCAAAATCAGTATTACCTTGCCTGTCCATCAACTCATGCAACAGTTTAATAGTGAAAATAGAAGCAGCTATCTAAAAAGTACGATAGATTTCTTGCAGGAGAAAAGGCCAGTTTCTCATCTGTGGTAGTTATTAAAAGCTGAGAAAGGGTTTTTGTTTGTTGTTTTGTTGTTATTTAAAAAAAATTTTTTCCATGGCACAGAAGGTAAATAATATATATATTTTTTCTTTGACCAGCAAGGGGATCGCAACCCTCGGCACGGTGTTGTCTGCACCACGCTCAGCCAGTGAGTGCACCGGCCATCCCTATATAGGATCTGAACCCGTGGCCTCGGCGCTACCAGCGCCGCACTCTCCCGAGTGAGCCACGGAGCTGGCCCGTAAATAATATTTTTTATTTGAACATTTTGATTTATGGAAAAAGGTAGATGTTTATAAGATGCCATGTGCATTCTGTATTTTGTGGCTTACTTACAGATATCTGTATTTGCAGATGAGTTTGCCCATCTTTCAGGCAACTGATCCAAATGTATTTCAACATTGTCACAGTAAAGCTCTCAAAATCTACCTATTTCACACAGCCTCGCTGATATATTAGGTTTTAATACTGCTTTGCTTGACTCTAAGGCAATCTGACATTTATAAAACTCAGCCTGCTTTCTAAATGGGTTGTCACTGTGTTTAGCTTTGAATGGCTATCAGTTCTTCTCTAAGTTAATGTGTCCTTTCTTGCCATTTAGACATAAAATCATTTACAGTAAATCAAATTTTATGATTACAATCTCACCCGTGTAGAGATAGGATATTCTCACCCGAATAATGTTCAGTTCTAATTAATGCCCTGGCTTGACATCCCATATTAACTTTTATTGCTGAGACAACAGTATATCCTATTGCATTTCTGTGAACTGGCATATTAGATTTCCAAAGGATTCCTAAGATAGTGAGAGTTCCTTGGATTTTAATTTATTGGCTTGGTTTAGGGTTCGCTAAAAAAACTTGGCCTCTAGGAAAAATGCTTCTAAGCATTCAGCATCTTGGTTATCGCAGGCCACCTCGTCTAACAGCAGGAATACCACAGGTCCTGGGATTCAACTCTGGCCCCATAAGGAACAACCATATAGAATGCCTCCTAAAGCTAAGGTGACACTATAACTGGAACACTTCTGAGAATAGAGAGGACACGTTTAGTAATTATGCCCAGACAACAGGCATCAATAAGGTTAGTCAACCTTTCTTAAGGCCTCAGTGGTTTAGATCTACAGTGTTACAGAATCTAGAGTTCTGACATAAGGAGCAAGGGATTTGTGCCATTTTGAAAGCCCATTTGTTTTTAAATGATCACTGAATGCCCCTTAGGGAACTATTAAAATTTAGGAATATGCATATGTATATATATATATACACTTTATCCAGTAAACATTAATTTTTTTCTTTTATTGCCTTTTTGGTAACTTTTATTAATAATATCCATTGTATTTGTAATCAAGTCTGATATGCCTGAATTCTTTAACTTTAATCAAATAGATCGGAGTGAATTTTGTTCCTTGTTTAATTGTTTTTAATAAATGCTATTCTTTTGGTTGATTAAAGCAGTTTGCCAGTGACTGTGTAAGTAGCCCACATTGATGAATTTTAAATAATACTTAATTGCCAAGAAAGTGGAAGAACAAAGAGAGTGATTAATAAATTCAGCTTGTAGGGATTTAAGGAAGAATAATTTCTGACAGTTTCAGTTATGTAGGTCTTCCTAGTACCAATAAATTACTTTAACTTGAATTCTCTCTTGTTGATTTTACAGTTCGAACTAAAAAATATACTGTCTATTTTATAAATAATATATTGTACCCAGATTTCTATAAAAGTACATTTGTTCTATTTAAAGATGACCAGTCAGTCATATTGATTTCACAGACATTTGGGAAAATTTATCCTAGTGGGAATAATTACTATCAGAGCTAAAAATAATAGATGTGTCCTTTTTTTTTTCTTTCTTTTTTAAAAAAGCTGGACCTGTGATCTGCAGAATGCTGAGTTATCCCCCAACTCGCCGAGCTTTAATTGTGGGTTGTGGCCTACAAATGTTCCAACAGCTCTCAGGCATTAACACCATCATGTATGTATTTTTTTCTGGCTTTTTACTGAAAAGACTGTAATGGCATTATTTTACATGGAAAAAAGAATAGGACTCTTGTTGGTTTGTTACTAATAAATATATAGGATTCTCCTTCGGGAGATACGATATTATTTTTTTAATCCTATAATTTGTGACTATAAAGAGGTGATTTGTCTGTTATTTTGTTAGCTGTATTTGATTTAATATAATTTCTCTTTTGTGCCATCTGGTACTTTCTTATATTCTGAGCTTAGATATCATTTTCATAGACCATTTCTTGATGGTGGTTAGAAACTAAAACAAAAAGAAGTCACCTGGCATTGTCAGAAATTATGGGCACACATATAACTACCTCATTGCCTTTTGGGGCAGTTCATTACAATGCAATGTGATAAGGACATGAATAGAAGTATGTGTATTACATCAGAGTACAGAAGAGGGGAGAGGAGGGGAGGAGAGAGAATTTCTATTTTCTAGTTTTCAGAGTAATCCCCAAAGTTGTATGTGTCTTGAAGGTGGAGTGGGATGAACAGTAGGGCTCTGCTGTGTTTGATTCATCTGCTATTTAACCCATTTTTGAGGGTCTGTTTTGTACTAGCCACACAGCAGTAACTAGTGTGGACTTGGTTCCCGGCTTCACAGATATACAAGTACAGGCCGGTGGAGGAAACACACATTAAATAAACGCACAGTTAAATGCACAGTTTCAAATTGTGATGCAGAATTGTTCCAGTTTTCCACAGAGCAGACTTAAGATTCTAAATAATAGAATGCAGTTATAGAAGTCCATGAATTTTCTTAAGAAACGGATCATTGGTTGAAAAGCTGCTGAATCTTAGAAGTTCCCCCTCCCCCAACCTAGTGGTTAAAATTATTAATTAAAAAACATAAATTATGTGAAATTAAATTTTCCCAGGTAAATCATTTGTGTTTGGGACTCTTGATAGTTTCCGTTAAAATTACTTGGGATATGATGAATTATTTAGTAATAATTTGGGAGGAATGAATTGGTTAAAATAATTTTTTAAAATAAGGATTAGAACCCAGTGACCCATTAGATTAAATCAGGATTTGTTAAGAAACTCAACTTCCAGTACATCTACACTCTTTGTGGATTTGACATTAATCATAATCCCTGTTAGACCGTGCCTTCCTAGGCTACATTTTTAATATTTTGTCCTCTCTTCCTCCAGCATTTACTTTCATTTCCTCACCTTTATTAACTCTATTAAGGCCCATCTGCTGTAGTGCCTAGCATTTTTGTTTTCTGGGTTTGGCACATGATGACTCTGGTCCAAGATGTGTCCACCTTCCCTAGTGTGGTGATGGTACAGTATTGCAACAAGGCCAGAACCAACCTTTCAAATAATGCAACGCACTAGTAACCCTATGTGAATATTCTAGTTGACTAACCTAATAAGTGTTCTGTTTCTGAAAAAAATATTTTTGTGTGTGTTCTACACTTTTCTAGGTATTTAAACTTGACAAGTTTAATATTTTTTGTTCTTTTTTATGTTCCTTTAAAACAGGGATCACAAACAGAGCCAACTCTAATTGATGGTCAGTGGCTGAGGCCAGTATGTTCCTAGTTGAAATGACTGTCATAATTCATTTGTGATATCTAGTGTAAATTGTACTGATTGAGGCTTTCAGATTTTAATAAAACGTTCATTTCTCCAAGTCCTCAGTCTTTTCATGGAGATCAAGTGATATTGGGTCCTGATATTCCCTAGTATTTGTGACGATCATTAATGTACTTTTCCTAACACAGTTATATATGGGATTGGTAGTGTTGTCAGAGATTTTGCTTGCATTTGAGAATTAACTGGAAAATAGAAAGAATAAAATTAGGTAAATGATGGTTGAACGCAGACATATGTTTCTACATGATGCAAAACAGCTCCCTGAAAAAAATTAATATGATGTTAATATATAGAGGTTAAAGGTTTAGACAGTTTAATAATATGATACCTATGCTAAGTGTCTGTTGTTTATTCACAGTACATAATTTCAGACATTCATTTTAAGCTCATTAAACTTAAGGTAAATCAATGTCATTCCGATAGACTACACTGATGTTTATTATTTAGATGGAAGATGACTAATCTGGGACTCTCATGTAATATATTTCTTCTTGCTCTTTCTAGTCTATGTGTTCACATATGTATATTTTTCAGTTATTTTCAACATTCAATAAACACTATCATAGATTTTGTTTCTAACTTAAAATAATCTCTTAATTAGAGTAATTTATTTTTTGTGGTTTTTAGTAGAAAATATTAATTACATATTTTTCTTATTTAAAAGCAGTACTTGGTTAACCATGAATTCCTTTTTTGTGTACATTTCATTATATATAACACATCTGTTAATGCATATAAAGTTTTACTCTTATTCTTTCTTTCCAGCTTCTTACCTTTTAAGTGGGAATAAAGTAGGCAGTCCTCTCTGCATTCTAACCCAATGCTAATAATGTGTAGAAGATGAAATGTTTTTACAGATTCCATCTTTCACCTCAAAGTCCGTGTGAACTGAAATATGGGGTATTTTGGGTTTTGTTTCTTACTGAGAAAAGTTTATAGAAAGATCATATGAAAAAATTTGAAAGCTAAAGCATCCTTACAGTTGCATTATATAATCCTACTAGGTTTAGCTTTCTCTCTTCTCCCTCAAAAAATTCTTTATTCCTGTCTCCTTGACCTATTTAATACCCTATCTCAGTCAAGGAAATAGATTTTCTTCTTGAAATATTTCATTTTATCATCCTCTACAATACACACAAACACAAACACACACACACACACACACACACACGCACATCTGAATATCTTTTATTCGTATGATAACTTATGTTTCTTTGTATCCTAACCCATACCTTCTCATCCTGTACCCTACCGAACAGAGGACTTGTAAGTTCTTAAAAACATTACATACTTCAGAAATTACATTTAACTTTTAGAAGAGGCAATTTTTTCATATGACAGTGACCACTCAATAATTTCAAGCATGCAGTTGAATAGATTATTCCTCTATTCACAGGAGAGAAAGGATCAAGCAAACGAAGTACTAGCTTTTCTAATATAAGTGTCTGTATTATTGTACTATATCTAACAGACCAATAAAATATTTCCATGTGTCAAAATAAGGGGAAAGAAGTGATAGAGGAAGATGATGGTGATTAATGTAAAGAAAGAAATTTTTACTGTGATCTATTCTAAACTTTAGCTGTAATATCAATGATGTTCCATCTAAGAAATTTAATCTGAGTACTTATAAAATGGACCTTTCCACATTATCATTTCCACAACCAAAATACATGTGTTTGTGGGGGGTGGGTGGAGAGGGGAGAAAGAGTATAGATAGGTAGGTAGGTATATAGAAAACATCAGGTTCTTTGTGGGTTTGATAGCATTCTTATTTTGGGAACTTATAATAAGCTATATTTTGGTATATTCTGACATATAGATAATTAATCCATCTCGGACAGATGGAAGGTATCAGATTTTTACCTGAGAAGACCAAGTGGCTAAATGACTCACTTTAAAGTTACACAGAAAATTAGTAGTAAAGAGGAAAAGGAAATCCAGAGTCTTAAGCTCTTGAGTCTGCTTCAGGTAAAGAGGCTCGTGGGGAAATAAACTTCTTTTGGACACAGTCTTCTACTTTTAAGCTACTCTTTTTTTGGAGTAATGCTCCCAGCTTGACTTCCTCCTCTTAGTCTTCCCTTTTTCTACTAATTCAAAGTAAGGCAGTGTCATATGAGCAGATCATTCTTGCTTCCATATGATTTACCTTAATTTCCAGGAGATCACTTCTTTCATTGTATGTACAAGAGATAATGTTTGCCTTTAGCACAGTGGCCTTACTGGGACATATTTTTGGCCAGCTGTCAAAAAAAAACTAGTAATAATAATATTAGTAATGATCATTTTGGGGGCATTAAATACACGTATTAAGTCACTTAAATATTAACAGAAGAAGGGAAAAGTAGGGCAAAACAGTTTTGAGCCCCTCTAATGGTGTATTATTTCTATTACAATAACAAACATTTTTTACTGCTTTACATATACAACAGTACAAAATGTTTTCATAAACAGTATCTCTTTTGGTCTTCATAAACATCCTGACAGGTAGGCAGGGCAGTTCTGTTTCTTCTCTAGCTAAGAAAGCTAGGGCTTAACAAATTAAGTGACTATAGAGCTTCGTGTGGAGCCTGCTTTTCTGACTCTAGATCACATGGGCTACCCTTTAATCCTAGAACACCTAGAATGCCCAGAGCTGGCTATTTAAAAATTGTTTGGGGGTGAGATAAGGTAGGTAATCAAAGTTGGTGAAATTCAGTACCATCCACAGATAAAAATCTAAAATGACTGTTTGTATGCTAATAAAATTGCATCCATTTCAAGAATCATAAGACTCATCAGATTCTTAAATTATCTAGTGCTCAGTTAAGGCATTTGCTTTATTCTCTGATGTAGAGTTTCTGGATAAGCCAGCTTGATGGATGAGTGAGTCAATTATATTTGTTAATTATATTTAATTAATTTAATTTTGTAAGTGCAGTATTTCTGGATCTGTTCCATTCTCGGATTTTATCCTCAACAAGCTCTCCTAGTATAAAAAAATTACTATGCAGTCAGGAAACATGGCACAAGCAGGCATGGCCAGATGGTGGCAAATGTAGAGAAAAATAAAGATGATGGGAAAGAAGGGTTTGTACAATCTCAGGTTGTAAACCTGAACCAGGGATAATGTTTTTTGTCTCTCTGAGATCTTCAACAAGCAGGATATGAATGGATCAAAGCGGCTGCTCACTGAAGTGAGTCTTCCCCTCTCTCTGCCTCCTTTTTAGACTGTAAACATAGTCCAAAAAGCTATTGAAAGATAAAATGCAAATATCATTGAAATATTTAAAAATGAGTATATTTGTACTGATTTGTGTTCACTGGATAAAAATTGAGTAGATGGGAAAATGTTAGGATTCATGTTTCACTCTTTTG